ATGTATATATATATATATGTATATATATATATACATACAGTATATATATGTATATATATATATATGTATATGTATATATGTATATGTGTGTGTATGTATGTGTATACACATATATATAGTCCTTCCTCACTCGCCACTGAGGAAGGACTAGTGTTGTCCGAAAGCTCTGGTTCTATTTCTGGCTGTTTACTTACGTTTGTTTTTAGCTGTTGCTTATCATTTTTGTATCTCTACTGAGATCCAGCCATTGTTTCCCACAGCATTGTTGTTTTTCAGTATTTTGCCTTTTAATCTATATATACAGTATATATATATATATATATATATATATATATATACATATATAAATATGTACATATACATTCTGTACATATATATATATGTATATATGTATATACGTATATGTATATATATATGTGTATATATATGTATATATACGCCGATACGTATACGCGTATACGTATATACATATATATATATATATATACACACATATACATGTATACATATATATACATATATGTATATACATACAACAATATCTGACGTCAGCCAAGAAGTTATTGAGCCTTTCTCAAACAAAGCTGCTTGTTTAACTAACAAAGAAAGACAAATGATATACGTAATTATAATGCGCCTTTGGAAAAATATATTTCTTCACAATGAAATACTTCTATGCAACAAACTCCATTCACTCACCAAACTGTCTACTTATATCATAAACCTCTACATAAATATCTTCATAATTACAGTACAAAATATTTCAAAAAGTTATGTACTCAACAAACCTTACAACAACACACACCTTTCCTAACTGTTAAGTGAACATAACAAATAAGGTCTATGATGATGCATACAACTAACTCTAACTTTAAATGTTTTTCTTCATGCTCAATACACATAACAACACTCCACACAACCTCCACCCACCGATAGCATTTAAACATTGCCAGCTATTGTCAAGTGGGCTATTGCATCATTGATGCTCTCATTTCTATTTTTGCTTGGTTGGATTTTTGTTATAATTTTGATTTTATTCAATGTACAGAGCTTAGAGGTTTCATGACATTAGGCGCTTTATAAATCCATGATATCATTATTATTATTACTACTTTGACATATGCTTTATTGATTCTCATTGATGCCTCAAATCTGATATCTAAGCACTACATTTATTTGTTCACAGACTATGTACCAATTGGACCAAGATTTTCAAACATTGTTCTACAATCATTGCTGGTATTACTAAAGAAACAGCCACCAAAGGTGAGACAAACCTGGCAAATGTTTGATCTACTTCATCTATGTTTTTCCATCAATTGCCTGCAATTAGTTTCTGTTTCTATCCTTTAAAATACTTCTTTTTTCATCAAGGCTCATTTGCCTGATGCAAACATCTATAACTCTTTCTTTTGCCCTTCCATAACAAAGGTCTGTCATTAGTGCGGTATGAAGCATTTCGGAACTGCCCTGGTCCACTTCTAAAAACTTTTTTAAAAATGGTGGAAAGATCATTACATTTAAATTTAAATCTGAGAGTGTGATCTACAGGTGCCATAGACACTTGTGAGTGAAGTTATCTGGACCTTCCAACTGTAAAAAGTCCTTCCCAGGGCCCTTTATTTTGATTCCTAGATCCGCCACTGTAATATCATAAAGTTGTCTGAATCTTCTATCATTTAATACAAATTTTAATCTATTATGTATTCTAGAAATTCATTCATTGTAATTTTACTTTATAGGGACGTAAATTGCTGATCATTGGTACCACAAGTAGGAAAGATGTCCTCAATGACATGGAAATGCTGCCAGCTTTTACCAAGCATGTCCATGTCTCTAATATATCTACTGGTAAAGATGTCATTAAAGTATTGGAGGTAAAATACCAAACAAATTTAGCAATATTTTTTGCAACCAGACCAGTGTCATGTGTGAGCGACAGTGGTTCAAAAAGGGACATTAACGTTCAGAGATGCTAGACAATAAAAACTTCGGACACAGTATCAATGTAGTCAATGTAATAGTTTAATGGTTATAATCATCGGTTGATCAAGCCGAACAACATGCCAATTAAAACATAAATCTACCAAGGATATTCTTATAAATACTCCGGTTACTTAAACCCTTACTATACATTGAGTATGCAAAACAATTATCATTATGTTTACTGAAATGAACAATAGGCTATCTTAACGTCTCTTAAGGAAAATTATTATATTTACCAAAACGAATTGTACTACACTAGGACTGAGTGGTAAGATATATTGAAGGGAATTATATCAATAGTTATCTCATTTAACAATCAAATGATACCATACATGGGCAAAATATGAATATGCATTAAAAATGATTACATTTAGAAATCGAATACCATACATGGGCAGTATCAATATATGAATATACATTAATAATTATTCCATTTAGTAATCGAATAATACCATACATTGGCACTATGAGCGAGCAATATGGTCGAGCGGTTGAGGCGGGGGCACTGTGATCATAGCAATATCAGCACATGTTCGCAGCCTGCTCATTCCTATAGTTTTGGTGGTGGAACAAGTCTTCTCGGATAAGTACTATAAACCGCAGGCCCTGTGTACACAAATGCTCATGTGCACTTTAAAGAACCCAGTGCATCTTTTGAGATGAGTAGGGGGTTACCCCGACGTACTGGTTCATTCGGCCCCTGTCGTGAACAGATGAAAGTGCGCCGGTTTACTGGCTGCAGAGGACATGAAGTGACCCTCATGGGAGGAGAAAGTTATTGAAAAGGGCAACATGTAGTCCCGAGCGCATAGACTTCGTTTATTTGTCCTATCTAAATCCATCTATTATTATTATTATTATTATTATTATTATTATATGAATATACATGAATAATTATTTCATTTTATTGCAATTGAATAATATCATACATGGGCAGTATCAATATATGTTAATACATTAATAATTATTCCATTTAGCAATCAAATAATACAATGGGCAGTGTCAATATACTGTATGTTACGGAGCCCCTAAAGGTACATTATTAAAGAAAATATTAAACTATTTCATGGGAACGAAATAATATTTTGTTCCCTCAAAATAATATTTCGTTCCCTCGAAATACTATTTCGTTCCCTCAAAATAATATTTCGTATATGGTACGCCTACAGTGCCTTCGGCGTCGGCTGTTCGTCATGGGGGGGGTGGCGCAATGATTTGCCCAATGGGGGGACCGAGGTCTCCTGCTGGGAGTCGATGCCCAAGACGAGGGGCCAGATTGCTTGGACAAAAGCAAAGTGCGTGTGGTCGAGCTTCAACCACACAGTTTATAAATTTTGACAGTTTAAGGGTTTCAAAGGCTTATTTAATCGATATTAGAGTACTAATATGCAGAAAATATTTAGAACTTTAGTTTCTCCCCGACAAATTGTGATTTTTCTCCTTGACAGGGGGGGGGGGAGGGCGGCTCTCCCCGACAAGGGGCCCTATAGTA